ACTATTGGAGAGGCCAAAGTGCCTGTTGATCGCTTCATCGACTGACTGAAGTCCGTGAATAATACTATGGTACCCAATATAGAGTAAGATTATGTCCTCCTTTTGGGTATAGTATTTTATATAAGGTATATTAGTTTACTAGGTTCAACCACCAAAAAAAACGCTACTGAGGTGGTTGTCTCCAGCACCATTCAGGATTGCGCCACAGCATGCGGCGCAAGGGCTGAGTGCCAAGGTTTTGAGTTTCTTGGGGGCGTTTTAATATGTCGGGTTTAGGGGGTTAGGGTTTAGCGGGTTCAGGGTTTATAGGGTTTAGGGGGTTTAGGGTTGAGGGGGTGTAGGGTTTAGGAGGTTTAGCGTTTAGGGTTTACGGATTAGGCTTTCGGGTCTAGGGGGTTGGGTTAAGGGAGTAGGGTTTAGGTGGCAAACTCGTTCTCGAAGGCATGTCGTACCCGCACCACACGCATGGTGAATCGTTCGCGTTTCTTGCCCTCTCGTTGAGCAACAACCTGTATGTAGACATCTGGGATCATCTCCAGTCTGCTATGCTCAAAGACGTTAAGTTTGTACCCTTAATGTTTGTAACCCTAGGTTTCGGGTCCCGAATACCCTTGTTAAGGGCCAGATTCCATTCTTTAGGGGCCCAAAACCCAAGGGTACACACCCTAAGGGTACAAAGGAAAACTCCCTGATATGAAGCCCATCCTCCGATAAACCGTGGCCTCCATCCAACATCCTAAACCCCAAGGTTCAGCCGGGGCAGATGCGAGATTTGGGTGCGTGCAGCTGGTATAGAAGCCACCGCGACTCGGTTGCTGTAAGGAACTTAGACTAAGTTTCCATAATAGGTGTATATATATATATAGTAAATTGACAGGTTTCCCTTATACAGTAACTTAATGTAAATTCCTTAACAGCAACACAGGCGAAGGTCCTGGGATTCACGTGCATGCGGAGGGTGCCCACCAGTACCCCACCGACCTCGGTGCGTTTCAGCACCTTCAAGTTCGTGCCCATCACCTTGAGGCCTCAAACTGCACGTGGCTGGTTGTCAAAACTACTATAGGACTATAGGGTTTAGGGTTTAGGGTTTAGGGGCTGTTGATACTTAAAATCCTGCATGATCTTAATATACTATAGTACCATTATTCCCAAGGTTTCAGGTACTTAGGGTCATGCAGGATTTTTAGTATCCACCGTAGGGTCCCTTTGTTGCATACCCTAAACAGTAGGTGCCATACCAGGGATCCAAAAAAAAAGATCACATTTTTGCTAGCCACCCACGTGAGCACTGTGACTGCTAGCAGTAAGCCCCGACAACCCCGGGTTTGGATCTTGGCTCAGCTGCTGTTCAGGAACTTAGATTTAAGTTACCATGGTGAGTATGCAAAATGATTAAGAGGGTTCCCCGCTTAGAGTAACTTGAAGTAAGTTCCGTAGCAGCAAACCAGTTTGGGCTTGGGGTACAGGGCTATATAATCTCCATATATACCCTGTTATAATGTAGTGGTTTCCATGTTCTTCTCCGTTATCCTTATAAAAAAATATATTCCCATGAAGCCCTAAACCCTAAACCCTAAATGTGGTAGTTTCCCAAAATGAGGGGACCCCAATATAGACCCCAAAATATTATAGTCCTTATTATTGGGACCCCCAAAATGGTACCCCTAATTTGGGGAAACCCCCATGTATAAACCCTAAACCCTAAACCCTAAACCCTAAACTTAATCATTGCTTCAAAGCGTTCTTCCCTTTTAAGAAGCCAGGCACAGCATCGCTGACTCTGTGTCCATCTCGGAGCTCACCTTGTCCCTTGCCTTTAGGGTGTAGGGTTTAGGGGTTAGGGGTTTAGGGGCTAGGGGTTTAGGGGTTTAGGGGTTTAGGGGTTAGGGGTTTAGGGTTTAGGGGTTTAGGGTTCCAGTTTAGGGTTTAGGGGTTTAGGGTTTA